TATGTCAAAATCGTGAATGACATTCTTTGGACATGTGTCCAAGGTATTCCCATACCAGGTTTCAGGTCATTCGGATTTAATATTAGGGCACAGGAGCCAAGAAAATAGCAAAAAAGCCCTATTTTACACACTTTTAAAGTGGTATATGTCGAAAGCGTGAATGGCATTCTTTGGACATGTGTCCAAGGTATCCCCATACCGAATTTCAGGTCAATCAGATTTAATATTAGGGCACAGGAGCCAAAAATGTACATTTTGGGTCCGAAAATAGCCAAAAAGCCTTATTTTTCCCAATTTTAAAGTGGTGTATGTCAAAAGCTTGAATGACTTATTGTAGACATATGTCCAAGGTATCCCCATAACAAATTTCAGGTCATTTGGTTTTAGTACCTGGGAACCAGATCTCAAAATGTATATTTTTTGCCTGAAAATGGCCAAAAAAACCAAATAAAACAATTTTTCAAAAAAATGAAAAAAAAACGACGTCGGGGTATTTGCCCACTCTACCTTCATTCCAAATTTCGTGTTATTTGGCCGGAAAATGGCAGAGATGAATCCATTTAAAGAAATGGCAGGAGAAGGAGAAGAAGGAGAAGAAACATGAGAGAACACAATATATTTCATCCATACCATGGTATGGACTTAAATATAAAAAAGCAATATGGGTTCACCACCACTTCGTGGTGTGGTGAACCCATAATAACCTGTATATACCTGTTCTAATGATATGGTCCGCTATCTTGGATCTTGGCCAATGACGTCATCGAATTAGCATAAATTATGCATATTTAATGATGAAATTTACATAAAATTATGTGGGATGTTATTAATATTAGAAACCATAAGTAACTTGACATAAAACCCATAAAATTCTATTGTTGAAACAAAAAGTACTAAATTTAGCAAAAAATGATAGAGAATTGTTGCCAACAATATTCTAAGAAAAGTCATTAAGTTCGGCCGTTCTACGGCTAGCCGTTGAGACGCTAGGTGACATCAAAATTTGATGATCACCGGTGTACGTGTATATTGTATTACGGTAACCTTAAACCAGGAGTTCTAACCCTAACGTCAATACTTTTATTCTTTATTTATTACCTCTACAAGTTGGTGTAGCACCACTCCAAGTCCCGTTCGGCTGGCAGGTTATATTCGCAGTCCCCCACAGCTGATACCCGTCCATACAGGTGTACCTGACTGTCTGTCCTGATGTAAAGTTACTGTTGTTATCCCTGTTCCCATTGGCCGGCACACCAGGATCCCAGCATTGACCTGCAGTACTGCCTGAAACAAAACAATGTAAAGGTATGGATTTCCTTCCTTTGCCATTTATCAAATAATTGTGTACATTTGCAATATATTTTACCTATAAATGTTCAACTTCCCGTACATTACATAGATATTTTTTTTACAAACTATATAACTATATACAATTTATAAATGTCCTATAGTGTATTCTAATGAATTTTTAAACGGTTATTCACATAATTTGCAAATTTTTCCATCTTCTGGACCTCAGAAACTAATCATATACCGAAAATGATGGAAAACTGCCAGAACCACAGTTAATATTAACGAGCATACTAAATGATATCAGTGACATTGTTAATTTAAGAAGTGTAGTCAAAGATCTTACTTGTGTAGGAGAACTTGAACCCCTGACGGATGGAACTCCTATCAGATGTAAACCTCAGAAACATCGTGTTAGATGTGCTGATGATGGGGATAATTTGCGATTGGTCACCGGATAACCTAACATTATGGAATAATAAGGAAAATCAATATTTGACGCACAAACTATTGTAATATTCCCAGTTTTGGGACTGTTTTTTGCTATGCAGAATAAATTCAAGCGTTAAGATTACCGTGAATACCCCATGGTTATCATTATTACTTCGTGTAGATTTGATTTAAGGAGCATAAGATATATAACTTCGAACTTGTAGTGCCAGTGCGATGTTTGAATATAAAGTTGGGTACTTTCCAAACATTCCTCAGAGATCCCAGTTGGTCATCACATACATGGACATTTATAGCTTATCCTTATTACTCGAGTATTAAATGCCATGTAGGACGAGCCTAAACATGTCATTTTTTTCGTTTTTTCAACATCGGTCGATCAAGGTCTGTAGTCGAAGTTGGTGCGCTCAGTTGATCATGATCTATTGAAATGACTGATACCTTTGGTGTCAGTTAGTTAACATCAACATTTAACATTAACTGGTAACATTAGCAATTTAAGAATCAGTTCACCCAAGCTGACAATAGAAAATGAATATGATCACGTGTAAAGCTAATAAACCTTTCCCAAAGACCAACACGAAAATTTTCAATGTACTGAAGTCATATCCCGACTCCATGCCTACGTATGTAGGCCTAAATATATATATGTTGTACCTTATAGAGGAGAAAAAGCCATTTAACAAACGTAACGTAAATCAATACGTTTTTTAAAGTCAGTTTTCTTCAACCGAAACTCGTGCTTCACAAACCTCCGAAAACGTGTTTATATAGGATTAGATTTTTATGTGTGTGTTTTGTATGTATTAATGTTTTGTTAGTCTACTGTCTAATTATGGGCCAGTAATTATAAGTGCCTGAAACAAATGAATAATAGTAATTACCTTTCTATCTCTGCAGCATTATCATTGGCTCCATCGTAGATTGTAAGAAAGTCATTATACCTCTCAGTGTGAAAGCTGTCAAACGTGAGGATAATGATGCTTCCTTCTGGTACAGTGATCGCCCACTCGCAGTTCTCATTGTTGCCATAGTTACCGGGATAGTTGGGTGACGTCACAGGGCCTCCAGAAGGAGCCGTCAGGTTCCCTCCACATCCGGTGCCGCTGGTTACTGTGGAATGAGAAATAACATCATCAGGTGCAGGTAACGTCACGTCATTATGTAAGCGTGAAGGGAGGCTATGTTTCATACAGAGTTACTGGGTCTATACATATTTATTTCAGTATATACATGGTGTTGATTTGAATATTGTTTTCACTCATTTACTCTTCTCTTTTTTCTCATAGATCCTGTTATTTTCTTAAATGGATTCAATTTCTACATTTTAGGTTACATCACTTGAAATTTGATATAAAGGTATAGAGTGGACAAATACCCCCTGCCTTTTTTATTCATTCTATTATATATTCTTTTAATGCAGGATTTAGAAATGTCATAGATTTTTTTTACTTACTTAATAGTTCACCACAAAACAAGGGTCGAGTGAGCCACTGAAATGTTTTGAGTTACTGAGAACAGATGTTTGTTGACCTTAGACCTAAAACGTTTAAGGTTAAACCTATGTGGGAAACAATCACGTGGTAGCTTGTTCCATAGTGATGTTGTTGTAGGAAAAGGCTTTCAGCGTGGAACTTCCTCCTAAGAGATGGTGCATGGAGAAAGAAAGGGTGATTTGCTTCAGTGTAAGTGGCAAAGCGTGCTCTTGCTAAGAATGTTCGAGGTGGAGGCACTGGCGAGTAAAGTTCCGCGGAGTTATTTGGGCTATCTTTTGACAAAATCTGTATACATGTATGTGGGGTTCTGGAACTGGTATTACACCCAAATGAACCGTTATTTTGGTAATGCGTGCGAGATATATCTACTAACAACAAATCATTATAAATGTTAGCCTGAATTCCATTGAAATTCCAAAATTTGGGACTACCGCCAGGTACATATGTGCTGTATTTCGGGGTGCAACGCAACTGAATGGAATGTCACCTCAGCAATAGCAACAAGTTTCTCATTCTTACTCTGTCATAACGTTAAATGGATTTAATTTTGGGGGCCAAATGACATGTAATGTGCAAGCTTAAAGCAGATACGGGGTGGCTTGGGTAAGTAATATTTAAGAAGATACAATTTGCCTTAGATCTTTTAAAAGTGCGAAATGTACTAAAATGACGGAGTGATCCTTGAAAACACCGTATGGCTGAAGCTAAAGCACTACATAGGGGGGTTACGAAAACATGCGTTAGTGCGGTTGCTTCGGAAGTAGAAACAGACCTACAGATGACAAACATTGCGATGAATACGAACTACTGGAGTGTATCCCATGCCGCACAGCCTTGAGCAATGTCAACATTTTCTAATCAACGGACGGGGTGTCGTGTGGCGTAACGACAGAGTGTTCGGCTCACTACCAAGATGTCGAATGTCATGAAACACAATTTTACAAATTTATGATGGGGTCACATTTCTAAACAGGGGCCCGGCCGGGCAGTCTAATAGAACAAAAAGTATGATTTAAAAGACAACAAAGCACAAAGAAGTTGAAAAAAATCAATTATGGGAACAACATGTAGTTGCGTAAATTTTTAATAAAGATTATTGATTTTTCGTCAATAGAAACAGATACCAAATGTGACCCCAATATTACTTTACTCAGGTTGAAGTGGGGACGTAGCTGCATTAACCCTACCTAGACGGGGGGGGGGGGCTAAAAGTCCGCGCGCCAAAATTGATGTCACGTAGCGTCTGAACGGCTAGCGCTAGAAGGGCCAAACTTGGTGACTTTTTCTAGAATATTGTTGGCAACAATTCTCTATTATTGTAATAACTCGAATAAGATAATGATTTTTTGTGTTGCCATGGCAATGGGTTTCTGACAAGCATTTTTAGCTAAATTTAGTAACTTTTGTTTCAACACTAGAGGTTTTATATCAAGTTACTGATGGTTTCTAATATTAGTAACATCCCATACAACTGAATGTAAATTTTATCATTAAATATGCATAATTTATGCTAATTTGATGACGTCATTGGCAAAAATTCAAGATGCCGGACCATATCATTAGAACAGGTATATACAGGTTATCTTCATTAAAATTTCATTAATACTCAAATACATCAATACACCAATACCATTTCTTTTTCCAAAAAAGGTTTAAATGAAGGTCTTTAGTATGTTTACAGTGTATTTTAGGCTTTATCATGAAAAAAAAAACTATTTTTGAAAATTCAAGATTGATGATTCAAGATGGTGGATATCTTAAATATGCATGACGTCATTTTATGACGTCACCGGAGTTGCTATGGGCAACATAAGACTTAGTAAACCCTAATATTCTGTCATAAACACTTTTGGTAAAGTCATGTTGTATACCATTTAGTTTTCATGGAATAGCCTATCTAGACGGTTTTAGCCAATAAAATCACCTTAATGACGTCATTATGACGTCATTATGTAAAGCACGTCAGCAGAACGTACTGCACCTGCGCGAAACCCGTAATGTATTGTACATAGCACTTCGGCAGAACGTCTCATATAAGGTTGTATTCGCTCATATAAGGTTAACACTCCCTCTGTAGTTTCCAAATGTTGTGTTGGAAAAGGCAACAGGCAAAATGCTGATGCAACGGTGACCAAACATCCAACGAAAACCGCGAAAATCCAGGGATCTGCGCAGGCGCATTACGTTCTGCCGACGTGCTGTATTGTGATGTTTTCGACATAGCTACATCATTAGTGAGTCGTAGTGACCATACAAGGGTTTGGGCATCAACCGGGGGCGAACCCATCATACCAGCCAGGGGCGTACCAGCCTTGGACCCGCCAGGATTGCCACTGGACTCCGCCAGGGACCCCGTAGCTGCCGGGCAGGAATGCAAGAGCCGGTCGGCACCCTACCGCATCCCACACGGGTCATCCGGACCGGGCACCGGACGGGTCCCTAACAGAAACCGGCCGTTGAAGTGTCCAAGACTTTGTGAATTTTATAGAAGCCGCCTCAGCGCCCCGAAAGGGAGCCGTAAAGGAACATTTAATCCTGACCCTGAACAGCCGGCGCACGCTCGGCTTCATGACGCCGGCCGGCGTCTACACCGAGAACATACGTCGGATAACCACCCATTCCTGGGAAGAAGTTTACACTGCAAACACGACTGAAGAAAAGGCTGATGCCTTCTACAGCACATTGACATCTGCAATCGACGAGTTCTTTCCCACAAAATCTGTCAAAATCCACCATTGTGACAAACCTTGGATAACACCAAGGATCAAGCACCTGATAAAACAGAGACAGAGATCGTTTATGCATGAAGGTTCTACTGTCAAGTCAAAGTTCTACAGAAATAAAGTCCAAAGAGAGATCCGGAATGCTAAAAACAAATTCTACACGATCGACGTTGAAGGCCATAAGAAGGACAATCCTAGAGCGTGGCACAATGGACTCAAAGCAATATGCAACATGAACAAGAAAACCAGTCGCATCTGCACCCCTGGTATTGATCAAAACAACTACACAGCCATTGCAAACGCTATTAATGCTAAATTCGCAAAGGTGTCTCAGTCATTGCCGCCGTTGGAGCTGTCATCTCTCATCTCTCCCGTCATTCCTACCGGCCCAGCCGTTACCTGAAATTCAGGTCTGGGATGTGTACTCACACCTACAAGCCACCAATACTTACAAGAGTCCCGGTCCAGATAACATCCCTTCCTGTACCCTCAAGGAATTCGCGTGCGAACTGAGCACTCCTCTTTGTGACTTATTCAACACCTCACTCAAGGAAGGCATAGTACCACGTCAATGGAGGGAAGCTAATGTAGTTCCCCTGCCAATGTCTAGTCCACCATCCATCGATGAACTCCGGCCCATTTCCCTTACTGCAATGTTGTCTAAACTCTGAGAACGGTTTGTGACTAATTGGATACTACAGGACATCTCTCCAAAGCTTGACCCCCGCCAGTTTGGTAGCAGGAGGCATAGATCGACAACACACGCGCTTGTCAACTTGGTGGACTTGTACAAATCCACTTCACTGTCAAAATCGATCTGTACCCTTGTTACCACCGATCTGTCTAAGGCTTTTGACAAAGTCGATCACACAACTGCTATTCGATCCCTACTTGACCTTGGTGTTCGCCCGGCTGTGATCCCGTGGATTTGCAACTTCATGACTGACCGACGGCAGCGTGTGATTTACCAGGGCGCATCCTCAGACTGGCTCAACCTCAGCTGTAGCGTAGCACAAGGAACTATACTTGGACCAGTCATCTTTATGGCGTTGATAGATGGATCTCTGCGTGACGTGGCTAACCGATGGAAGTACGTGGATGATATGAACATTGCAGATATTCGCTTGATACGTCAACCATGTACACTCCAACTTACTCTTGATAACCTGAGCACATGGGTTAGCGACCACAAGATGGCTTTGAACCCGAAGAAATGCAAAGTGCTACAGATCTGTTTCGCTAAGGTTCCTCCCCCACCTGAACCACTGATCATCACTGGCCCTGGTAACCGTTACATGCATCAAGGTTCTCGGCCTGACGATTCAAAACAATCTGAAATGAGACCAGCAAGTGGACAGTATGGTGAAATCCTCAAATAGGAGACTCTACATGGTACGGAGGCTGAAAAGATTCGGTGTGTCAGTTCCTGACCTGGTGTCTGTCTACACCGTGTACGTGCGCCCTTTACTGGAATACGCAGTGCCCGTGTGGCATCCGGCCTTGACCACTAAACAATCTAAGACTCTAGAACGGATCCAGACGAGGGCCTGTAAAATCATCTTGGGATCACAGTATTCGAGCTATTATATGGCACTGACAACCTTGAACCTCAGCTCCCTTGCTGACCGACGTCGTGAACTTTGTAGGGCATTTGCAGAATCCCTGCTGAACTCTGAGTTCCGTGATTGGTTGCCCCCGCTGAGACAGATCATTTCTGGTAGAAGTACACGTAATGCTAATAAATTTGATGTTCCACTCTGTCGGTCTGCACGTCACAAGAACTCACCAATTCCTTTTTTAGTTGAACTGTTAAATGCCAAGTAATGAATATAGTACTTGCGCTCAGACTTCACTTATCTGTCGTGTCTGCAGTACCTTATACACCGAGTGACAC